CTTGGTTTAACCCCTGATCATGATCATATTGGAAGGCCTTAGTTGACGTCATCGACGATAAGTCGCTGGTGAAAGTTGAAAATAAGTAGGGAGAAAGCACAGCACCCTAAAGGACCCAAGAATTATTCACCAATGATTTTGAAATAGTGTAGTTTACTTTCGTTCTTTGAATCATGCCTGTGAAATGATCTTTCAACCACAACAATATGTAGTGGAGCAACCAAATGACTAACTTTCGCAGAAGAAGAGATCATGGAACAAAGACAAAAGTGAAAGAATAATCAAGGAAAATACAACGAATGCGTTTTGGGAAATAATCTATAGATTTGCAAATAAATTGCACCATTGATGAAACAGCACCCCTAGCACATCTATTTGGCTAATACGCAAACTGAAGGGGGTCAATGGGAACATTGCTATCAGACTGAAAGCTAGTGTGAAATGCGCACTCTACTAAGTCCAGAGGAAGTGATGGCGATGGGACGAACTCGTTCGGAAAAAATGCTAGATGAAGATTAGTTAGGAATGGGCACAATGGTATATATATATATATATATATGGTGAACAAAGAAAGCAAATGAATACTGGAGTGTGACTGCTTGTGAAAGATGATAGTAAAAATAATATTCTCATCTGGGCGGTGGTGGCCCGGTGGTAAGGTCACCAAATTATCACCCCTTGGATGTGTGCTCGAACCCCACGACCACCGCCTGAATTTCCCCTTTGTGTGTTGAATGGCAGCCCTCCGATTGGCCGCTTCCCCCTTCCTGAAAAATTGTTGTATCTTTGTATATTCAATAAAAGGAAGTAGAATGAAAAAAGACAAAAAGGAAAAAGAACTAACAATAAACCTAGTTTTCAACAAGAATGTTCAACAAAACCGTCTTCATCCAACCACGATTGGAAGATCATTGATATGTTTTCGGTAGGCAACAACTTGAACGAACGCCGTCAGATTTTTATTTCAATTTCTTTAGCTGAATAGGCGCGGAAAGAAGGAAAGTGAGAGGCGGGCCATATCATCCGTAATAATTATTTTATCTTTTACAGCTGACCGAATGTTTGCGAACCCAATCACTGTACCAAACGAAAATCACACAAAAGACCGATCAGATTGAATCATTTGAATTTGAACAACGTGCAGCCCGGGAGACTGTTCTACGCTTGTCCGGAGAATTAAATAAGGAGCAGCAAGAGAAGGAAGCTTTGAAAGCACAAGTTCAATCCTTGCAAACCGTACGTCCGTGGTGCGATTGATTCGTAGACTAAATGGGTTTTATTAAGATGTGTAATACGGTGTGTACATGGATCACATAACTTATCCTCACAGATTATCAACTTGACAACTTTACCTAAGGGTTTATTTAAATGAAAAGAGTCCAAAGTGACTTAGTTTTTTCAGTTAAAGCGTTTTGTGCTATCCGGTTCCTTTTCAAATCGAGTGGAGTTAGCCAGCTTACATTTTTAATGCAACTTTGTTTGAGGTGGTGCAGTATGAATGAATACAAATGAGTACGGAAAATGTAATATATAATATATTTCACAGAATATTTTCCAAAATTTGCTTTGTATCTTTCCACTGATGTCACGCACCGGTAGAATTGAACTCACTTTATTTCGCAGGTGGCAGATAAGGAACCTTGGTCTATATATAATACTGGAAGATTTTAATTATACTTCTGAGGCCTACAGTGATAAGCGATTAAACTTGAGTCAAAACAACCTCATGAGCTTAATTTCAGTACATTGTTATTTCTCAAATAAAACTTTAAAGGTGATCATTTAGGTGTACCGCTGATAAATAACAGTCATTCATTGTTGAAGTATCCCCATTGTTCATAAAAAAGACCAATGAGGGTAAACATTATTTTAGATTATTCATGCTCAAGCTTCCACGATCACATGGTTATAATAAAGTCATGATTCATAAAATAAAATGAGCCGATGTGGAAGGAGGAGGAGGAGGGTTACAAAGTTGTTATCATTTCGGTCTTCAGTATTGAGGACAGAGGACAGGATATCAGTGTAAGCCCCATCACCATTGGGTCGAAGGTCCGATCACATATGATCGTTCCTCCACAGCCCCCTAAGGTGCCCATCCAAACGCCATTTGAAA